CAACTAACCAGCAGACCTGATAAAGACATGTTTATGAGAATTATTTTATAATAGTTTTTAATGTTTTAGAAAAATTATATGAACATGTATACTTATATTCTGATGATATTTTTGTGTTAATTTTGAATTTTTATTATTTTTAAGGATTATGTTAATGTTAAATAAATATTATGCAAATATTTAAAATACGTATATATTTTTATATATATATATTTTTATATATTTTATTATATTTTTATTGTATTCTATATGCATTCTATGCATATTCTTGCATTTTTTAAATGATTTTAAGTATTATGTTCATGTTACATAAATATTATGCAAATATTTAAAATACTTATAGATTTTTATATTTTGATTATATTTTTTAAATATATTTTATTATATATTTTTATATATTTTATTATATATTTTTATTGTATTCTATATGCATTTTCCTCCTAATTAACTATAGCCAGTATAATGTTAAAGTATTATGTTAATGTGATATAAATATTATGCAAATATTTAAAATATGTACAGATTTTTATATTTTTATTATATATTTTTATTGTATTCTATGCATATTCTTGCATTTTATGCATTTACATTTTTTTAAGTATTATGTTAATGTTCTAAATATTATGCAAATATTTAAAATACGTATATATTTTATATTTTTATTATATTTTTTAAATGTATTTTTATATATTATATATATTTTATTATATATATATTTTTGTATTCTATATGCATTCTATGCATATGCATTTTTCCCCCTAATTAACTATGACCAGTCTCTCATCACTGGAAGTTGTACAGGAAGTTTGCAGACGGTCACTGATTCTCGCTGCACACTTGATTCTGTATTCAAGCACTGCAGGTCAGCGCTATAGCAACAGAGAGGCGTGGCCAGTGACCTCAGCAGAGCTGATTATAGCCACTGTTGTAATAGTGTGGCTCCGCCCACTCCACCTGACCCTGCAGGAGATTACAGAGAGAGAGAGAGACACTGAATCTCTGCATTACACTTCCAGCTCCTGCTTTCAGTAACCAGACACTCGCAGGTGAATATCTGCCAGGTTCACCGCTGAACAGAGACAGAGGGAGTGGTTAGAGAGAAAAGTAATCAGACCTCCTTCCTCTCCAAAGACAACGCTGAACTTTCTCCAGGAGAAACACAAGACTCCGCCGGAGCAGGAAGTGCTCTGAAAAAAATCCTTGGGAATGTCTAAGGGAAATATCTGGAGCTCGTATCCGTTAGTTCTGTAAGTTTCCTTTCACTGCCTGAACTACTGAGACACTTTAGTCTCTCTGTTTGGTTTCTCCCATTTGAGAATCACACTGAACTGCAGTAAAACTTCTGGAACAGAAGTGTTTCCAAATGCTGGAGCGAGAGAGAGAGAGAAAGAGAGAGCCGGGGATTTTCACGCACAAAACCCTTTTGTTTTCTCCGGTCTGTGAAACTAGAGCGCATGCAGGTTAAAGTAAAACCACACTAACTATGCAGCTATTGGATTTCACCTCATAGCATTCAATGCAAACAGCAATATGGATTCAAACCACACTAGGACCTCTTCAAGTTTTCTCATGTCCGATCAGACGACAGCTGTGTTGACGTCATTTCGAACATTGCCTGATGAAGATGCTAATGGTCATATTGGAGTAGCAGATCCTTTGAGACCGAAATCTGGAGATGGTTTGGAGGAAAACATGGAGCTGGATCGCCATTATTCGCCTGTTCAGGATGCAGATGGGTCTTCACAGACGTCCTCCGATCCGTATCTGGTGCAGGTGACTAGAGTGGAGACGTACATCGACGATGAGGAAGACACCTTAGGCCTTCAGGGAAGGTCAGAGCAACCGATACACTGCAAAAAAAGACTTTTTTCTTGTTTTCACGTACAAATAACTATTAATAAAGGGGTCCCTCAGGGCTCTGTGTTAGCATCAACCCTGTTTTCAATCTACATTAATAATATTTCTCAGGTTATCAGTAGTCAGAAAACCTATATTCACCTATATGCGGATGATCGTCATATGATGAAGTTTTAAACCAGGTATAGGATAGTTGTAATAATATTCAAGAGGCTTTTAGTGATCTGGATCTAGTTTTAAAT